CACTGATATGAGAGAGAAACACCCATCAGCTGCCTCCTGCACGCCTCCTACTGGGGATCGAGCCCGCAACCCGGGCATGTACCCTGACTGGGAATCGAACCTGTGACCTTTTGGTGCACCAGACAATGCCCCACCAACTGAGCCACACCAGCCAGGGCCCCCTGCCAAATTTCTGATATGGACTGGGGAGGAGTGCTCTGAGCTTAAGCAAGCATCATACCTTGAAAACAGGACCTCTGTCTATGGCAGAGTTGAGCCAACACTTTGGAGTCCAAGCAAGGTGACGTATTGATCACTCACAGCAAAACATATATTTAACAGCCATATGAGAGCTTCACTAATTCCACTGGTCTCTAAATAATCATGCCACCAGCACGTCACAAAATGGTTGCCTCTCATCGTAGCACCACCTGGCCCCAGGCCCCATCCCTGGCATGTACCTCAATGTGGGGTTTATAGAACTTCAGAGCTAGAAGAACCTGGAAAGACCTGAAGTTTGACCCAGATCCGGAAAGGTCTGGGATCTGCTCCCTAGATAAGCTGCCAGACCTCTTGGTCACCCCTATACTACAGGACACAGCAGCTTCCTTCCCAGCTAGGCTCCCTATCTACTGGATCACTCAGTCCCCTAATTGTGGCCTATTTCAGGCATGGAGGGAGAGACTGATTGATGCTACTGTCTAAGTGACTAGAGAGCAGCATTACTCAGACCAAGGTGAGCATGAGCCAGTAAAGGTTCTCTTGGTTTCAGTTCTGGAACGACCCCAAGGAGCTGCCCCAGAGACATGAAGTGGTCATCACAGGGTCCACAAAAACTGCTGGTCAAGGTGAAGGCCTTGCCAGCAGTACCCTCTTCATGGATGAAGGGAGTCTCTTCCCCAAGAGAAAGACAGACACTTAAGTGGTCCATCTCTGAAAAGCCAAAGCTGTACGCTACACATGAAACATGACACAGAGCTTTGCAGCAAAGGCCATAGCAAGGGTCTAAGTTGGGTAGCTGCCCTCAGCCACAGCTCACTCACCAATGACCAGCAGCACAAGGATGGCAATGAGAACCACAAAGAAGGTGTTGCTATAGGTCACTACCAACTCCACCAGGCGGGACTTGAAAATCTTCTGCCATCTGTGAAGAAAACAAACAAAAAAAAAAACAGAGGCTATAGAAAAAGAACACTTGGATTCTGGGCCTTGAGAACAGAAATTCAGTTTTGCAGTCTTCTCCAATGGCCAAATAGCCCATACAGACTCAGCCTTAGTTGCTTACATTTTTCCAATTTATGACATCCATTCAAGAGTGGGTAAAAAAAGATGCTTGTCCATAAATAGAAATTTCTAGAACACCAGTCATAAACACTGGCAGTCTCTGGGGAAGGAAATGAGAAACTTACTTTCCACTGCGTTCCTCTATGTAGTATTCAAAATGCTTGTCACATACACATTCTTTCTTTCAGTTGTTTTTCCATGTGACCAATCCTGATTCATCTAGAATCCCACCACCCTGGATTATTACGAAGCAGATCCAACCTCCCTTCACTTCCCTCCACAAATACCTCAGGATGTAGCTCTACCAGAGAAAAGCCTTCATAAATGGTTAATATATCACAATACCATCACCAAACATCAAGAAAATCAGTAAGAATTCCTCACTATCAGAGCCAGAATCCCAAAGTGTAATTGTTGTATTTTTAATAGCTTGTTTATTTGAATGCAGAGATACGGTTTCAATTTTGCATTTAGTTGAAAAGTATCTTAAATCTCTCTTACTCTCTGAGCCCTTCCCTTGCCCTCTTTTGCTTTCTTTCCCAATTTACTTTATGCAAAAACCAGGTTATCCTATGAAGCTTCCCAGATTGCAGCTCCCAGGGGGCCTCTGTCTCTGTATTTCCTCCAAACTGTATGAGGTGTGAAGAGTCAGATCTGGCACTTGACAAGAATATTTCTTAGGCAGTGCTGTATACTTTCTATTGTATCACATCAGGTGTCTGTATTTTTTCATTAAAAACAGCTTTTAAAAAATATCTTTGGAGCCCTGGCCAGGTGGCTCAGTTGGCTGGAGCACCATCCCATACACCAAAAGGTTGTGGGTTCTATTCTCCATCAGGGCACATACCTAGGTTGAGGGTTCGATCCTGGGTCGGATGAGTACAGGAGGCAACCAATGGGTGTTTCTCACATCAATGTTTCTCTCTCCCTTCCTCTCTCTCTAAAAATCAATAAAAACATATCCTTGGTTGAGGATTTAAAATACATCTATGGAGACTCAGCTTCATTTGTAATGTTCTAATTTAAGTCAGAATGTGTTCATGTTACATGCAAATAAAAATTATTTTTCAATTAACTTTTAACAGGTCTTCTGTTCACTGAAAAGGAATATGGCTTCACCCTGCATAGGCTGAGTAATACTCATGAGGCTACTACACAATACCAGTGAGACTAGTTTAGTAGGACAAAAGTCACCAAATCAGCATCAATGTGACCTCATGGTACAAGTCTTCCAGATCCCACATTGCCATCCTTGAAGCCCAGGGATCCAAGGGGAAGCAGGAGGCATGATTCCCAGAACCATAACTAGAGCTAGGTCTTCTCCCTTTTGGGGAATTCAGAAGACCAAAAGGCAGGGTGCACAGGAAAAGAACTCAGCAAGATATGACAAAGCAGAACAGAGTAGAAGGTTGGCAATATAAACACAACCCCTGCCACCCTCACCCCAGACATGTTCTACCTGTTTCTGTCTGGCGACAATTCCAGGGTCCACCAACTTTACACACATAACTTATGGAGCTTGGCAACAGTCACCTTATTTGCTTGCCTGCTTGCTCCACAGGCCATACCTTTTGGGTGAAATGAAGGGAATGCAGAGAAGCAGCACAGCAAAAACCTCTGCATAGAGGAAGGTGGCAACTGCAGTCCACTGCAGACTCATCCTGTTGCTAGAAGGTTTCCAACAGGGAGATGTGAGCTTGTTTCCTACAGGGAACAGAAGGAACAGGAGTCATGAAAACTGGACAGCCATGCTATCCTGGAAATGGGGCTCGACTCAGCAGGGAGACTTGAGCATTAATGCACAAAGGCCTGACCAACTTCCACCTGCCAGGGCAGTGTTACTCTGCTGCCGACTCCAGTATGTGTGTTAACACGTCCAGAGCCACCTTTCTGGACAATTCCTTTCCCTGTGGAGTCCAAGAGACACCTTATGCTTGTTTAAGTGGGAACGTGTTTTTAATAAAAATTATATAGACAGGAGGAAATTCTTAACATCCATCAGGCCCGCTCCCTTCCCAGCCACCGGGAGCTCTTTGGCAGAGGCTCCCAGCTCCCAGCCGGCCCCGCGGCGGCAGTATTTCAGTAACGCATTTTCTCCAAAAACCAGGGCGTCCCCCTCCCCCGCCCCAGGGAAACCAGGAGGCCCTTTCCGAAAACCAGCAGCTCCCTCTGGGTCTAGAGAAGGGGCTAACAGGCTTCCCGAATGCCGCGCCTGCCTCTGATGGGGCTGGAGGACTCGGAATACCTCAAAAAGCCCACAAGAGCGACTCCTAGAGGGCGGGAGTCACGCGACTCCGAGGACCAAGAGCAAATGCACAGCCCGATCCAGAGAAATTTCTAGAAGCAGCTGTCTCCTCAGTAGCCAGAGGAGACCCTCCCGGCAGCCGCGGTCGGCCACAGCTCCCACCAGGCTTGGGAGACACCGAACGCTGCCCCCCGGAGGCCCCTCGACGTGGCCCTGGCCCGGCACGCCCCCAATACCCACCCCCGAGGCTCCTCCGGAGGGGCTTGACCACCGCTCCCTGCCACCGCAGCCGGCCCTCACGTCCCTAGAGCCGAGCTCCGCCGCAACAGCCCCGACTTCCCTCCACCCAGCCCTGCCCCCGAACTCCCGGCTCGGCCCTCAACCCCGGGCCTCTCCACCCTGCCCGCCGTTCCCCGTTATCGAGGAGCTGAGGGGACCTCGGCGGCCCCAGAGCCCAGCCAGGCATGAGGACCCGCTCACCGAGTTTCCCACAGAACTCAACACGCTCCTCCGCAGCCGCCAAACTCTCCCACCCAGGCACTGGCCCCGCCCCTTCCCCCGCAGCCGGAAACCGGAAGCGCAGACAAGGCCCTGCCCCTCCCCCAGCAGAAGCGAAGCCGCGTAGGCTCCGCCCACGGCCGCTTTCCACCACCACCCTGGCCTCCCCCAGCCGAT